GGTCTGGATTTGAATGCAGGGAGCTTGGACAGTGTGGAGTCTCAGACTCCTCAAAGTCTCCTCATTTAGGAGGGCCGCTGAGGGGCGAGAGGATACCCATACAACGTACAGACGAGGCCGTGTGGGCCGCAGGCGCTTTGGGATTCCTCTTAGTGCTCCTCACCCTGTCTGTGCTCCATACACGCCTCTATCGCCACTGGAGATCTTCAACCAGTCTCTACTGGCACGACAACCAGCAAGACTATGAGAGTGTGGGTGGTAAGTACACACTATGTGTTCATGCTGCACAAAACCGTTCATTCTGTCACTTTCCCATAGATGTAGACTTATGAGAGGTGTCGTTTGTGTTCCAGACATCATCCGGCGGAGGCTTAGGATGGTTGGCCGGAGGAAGAGGAGGAGTAGCCAGAACAGGAGACAGGAATGTCCACTGCTGTCTAACTCCAGCAATGAGGAGAACTCTGACTAATGGACAGGATTGGTGAACACTAGAAATCTTACAAACTCTGTTGGAATATCTGCCCAATCTTGTGGTGCTCATGAAGTAAATATCAACCTTTTTATGACACTAAGGATAACTTTTGTCCACATTCAGACAATACTTAAAAAAGACAATTTGTCTCTGGTATTTCATGTAGTGACAGTTAAGTGATAAAGGTTAATCATTTTATTTCTACAGACAGTTTTCTACCATTTAGTTTGAACTTTTACACATTGTGTATCTTGTGTGTTGCATTGTCTATTGTTGTTATAGCATACTGGTAAATTAAAGCCGCAATGAAATGGAAGTAGTGACAAATAAGATTTTTCATATTGTGATGTACATCAAAGTGTAACGAATTATCAAAAGAGAAAAAAGTAGGGTAGGGGCTCTATTCTATCCATCGATAGTTTATTCGATTTTGATATATGGGCATTGCATTCAAAAGTGAAGGAAGAAAGGCATATGTCACCAAAGAACCAGAAGGACTAGTTAGGACATTTTTTTTAAATGAAACATATGTATGGATGAAGTACTGCACAATAAGATCACTAACATGCATTTAGAAAATAGATGAGAGTGAATTTCCATTTCATGCTGACTTGTATAAAGGAATGTGGAATGTTTGGTCACACTACAGCATTTGTTTCTTGCTTAGATATGACTTTTTCTCACGGTAGGTTTCTAAAAATGCAGTGATCATTTACTCACCCTCATGTTGTCCCAAACCTGCATGACTTTTTCTTCTGTGGAACACAAAAGAAGACATTTTGAAGAATGTTAGAAACCATGTTTTAGTGACTATTACATTCCAAAGAGACGTTTCCCAAAATATCTTATTTTATGTTCTACGGAGGAAAGAAAGTCATATAGGGGTGAGTTTTTTTGTTTTTGGGTGAACTTCATTTCCTTGCAGTTAGAAGCCTCTTATGATAAGTATGGGTGAAAACATTATGTATAAGGTATCTTACTCTATAGCCCCGTCTGTTGTTGAGAATGACATGGTTTATGTGTCACATGACTTGACACAAGGAGATGGCAGTAGAGAGCTCTCCAGTCCCACTGGCACTCTGAGAATAGTTTAAATTATATAACTGCGCTGGAAGTAGAGCAAATGCTTTTTCATGTGTAGCATACTAATTGTATTGGTCAGATCCATACTAAAATAGTGGAGAAGAAAAGAAAGACATTAATTCAGATCCTGTTTGGGTTATAAACATATTTTGTTTTAATAACCTTGATTCTCCGATTAAAACTGCTCAAAGTGAACACAGCCTTTGAGGTTATAGGTGTAGGCTAAATGAGTTAAATGTAATCAATCTGCTAATGCGATGTTGTGGTAATTGTGTTTAATATGCGTTTATTTACTTAATTTTTTTCTAGGTCACATTTTCAACCTGAAGACTCTGCCGAATACTGTCTGAAATCAAATTTAGTGGCCTTACAAAACAGTATGCAAACAAAGCACTGTTTTTTTAATGCAACCCCAAAATGTTCAAATCTTCCTTTAAAATATAATCATGAATTAGTAGTTTTCATAAATATTGTCACAAGTGAGAGACAACAAAAATGTTATCTATTCATTTGAGTAATTTAAAACCCATGTTTTGTCTAGAAAAATGTCTAATCTGCTCTTTACGACAAAAGGGGGGCTAATATTTAAGTCATTATTCACAGATTAACTTGCCTTCAAAGCTAAAATAATATAATAGCATTTAGTAGTATTTCATTTTTGCGTATTTCAACATCACACTGAAGTCACATTACTCCAGGTTGCAATCATTTGTCACTGAAGGATTAAGGCAAAATACTCATCATTTTTAGCATACATCCTCATCCTATGTCCTCCTCACCCCTCCATATATTAGATCTCCTAGCGGTTTTTCTGAATCCTAAACAATGCAATTACTGTTCAACAGAATTAACCATATGATTGCCTCAATGATAACCAGGGTCATCTTTTGCAAGTGTGAGTTGTGCAATGGAAGTCATTTGAAAGCAAAATAAGGAATGCAATGCAATCTGTGGATCATTGGATTTCGGCTATGTATTGTGAAACCATAGCAGAAAACAAGAGATGCCATAGAAACATGAAGCGAGCAGTTAAAGATGTATGTGTGCTACATATGTGCTCATTATATGAACTAGCAATGTCACTGTGAATGCTCATATTGGCTCAAACTAAAGAGGTTGCATTTCCAGCACTGAATGATAACTTAAACATTAGATCTGTTCAAACATGATGCTTGTGATATCTTGGAAAAGCAGAACATTCTGTTGAAATTTAATTGGCTATTTCCTTCTTGCTCAAAGGCACCCTGACAGGGCTCTTGGCAGCCATGTGACCAAGAAGGGAAATAATGTTGCATGTTTCAGGATGTGTTTTTCTTTTTCCTTTTTCTTTTTTTTCAGCCTGTATGTTTGATGAACGTGAGAAAGAAAATGTATTCCACCCTTTTAGACTGTCGCTTTTTGTCTGGAGTCTGCTAATGTTGTATTTAACATGCTACAAATTGAGCCCAGTTGTACAAGGAATTTTATTTTATCTATTCTCCTCACCGCAAACAATTTTACAATTAGCCACTTTAGCATTTTATGGCAGAAAGGCAGTGGGGCCACAATTATATCTGTTTCAAACATTACTTTACTGCCATTTCTTGGACTGTAACTTACAATTACATGTTTCTTTAAATACTGTCCTCCTACTCATGCAGGTTACCCGTTTTAGCACTATACACCAAAAAAGCATTTATAGAAGGTTTCATGCTAAGTCTGCTTTACTGGAATCCAACACTGTGGAATGTCTCGAGACATGTCATGTTCTCATAAAACTAATTAAAAAGGAAAAAAAAGAAACAAATTAAATAGAAATTGATAGATGGAAACATTACTAATACCTGCATAAATCACTACATGTAAGGGATAATATATTATGGATGCCCGTTTCAGCACCAGAATAAAAAATTACTGGGCACTAGGGACTGTGACTTTTTATTCTTTCTTTTGTGACTTTTTTCCCCCACACAATTCCCGCAATTTCTGAGATAAACTCACAATTGTGAGAAAAAAGTCAGAATTGAGGGCAATTATCATTTTTATTTTTTTCCATGGCAGAAACTGCAAGAAAATAAATTCTGTTTATATCTCTCAATTCTGACATTTCTTTCCTCAGAATTGCACTAAACAAAATCTGAATTGTGAGATCTGGGCACTAGGGACTGTGACTTTTTATTCTTTCTTTTGTGACTTTGTTCCCCCACACAATTCCCGCAATTTCTGAGATAAACTCACAATTGTGAGAAAAAAGTCAGAATTGAGGGCAATTATCATTTTTATTTTTTTCCATGGCAGAAACTGCAAGAAAATAAATTCTGTTTATATCTCTCAATTCTGACATTTCTTTTCTCAGAATTGCACTAAACAAAATCTGAATTGTGAGATAAAAAAAACGTAAATACCTTTTTTATATATATTTAATTTTTTGATATATATATTTTTTATTCTGTAGTAGAAACAGGCTTCCATAATATTCAGTTGGTCCTCATAGCAAATGTAATTTTGCAGTAATAACCGACAGACTGTACGTTGTTACTGATGGACATTAAATATTGATTTTTGGGTTTCATTTATTTTATAATCTAATTTCTGCTAAGAAAAAAAGTGCATTACAAAAGCAATGAGATGGAACAAGTAATATTAAAAGTCATTAATACTATAATATTACCAGTCAGATTGACAAATCAGAAGTGAATAGAGTGGACTCACTAATTGGTCTCAAAACTGTGCAAGCAATAAAATGCCAGTGAAGATGTATAACATTATTGCAATGAACAGTACCAATGAAGCAATTTCCCTCTGTTTAAGAGCACATGCAAAAGGCTAAAACTTTAATCTTTAAAATTGGATTGTATCAAAAATGATTGTTCATAAACTATTGCATCTGCAGCTATTCATAAAAAAAAAATGACAACTCTTTCATAAAAATATTTACACAACTAGACTTGCAGTATTCTGCCAAATTCTCAAGGAAAGGCAATGAAAATAAACAACTGTGCATGCATTTATAAATGCTGCAGATCATCAGATATAGCACTCCACTGTGCAAAACATTGCTGACATTAGAGCCATTTAAGGGGGGGGTTTTGGGGGGGGGGGGGGGGGGGGTACTTTCTTTAAAAGTCTAATTCTATTCTCTCCACCACACAGGTATACTTAATGGAAGAGGCATTTCATTGGGCATGAAATACTGCAGGAAATATGGCCACTCAGACAATCCCATGTGAAATCTAGGAATTGCTTTTTGAGGTAAATGCCTTTGATGCATATAATTTGACACATCTTACACAGGATCCCTCTTTTCTTGAGACCAGAGCAAACCACTCCCTACGCTTGAGGTTTTCCTGGTCTTGGCACTGTCTGAGTCATAATAATACGTTAAAAGGCATTCCCATCAGCTAAGACTTTCAATGTCTCCTTGGACTGGCCATTTTCAGAAGCTTCTGTGGTCTGCCAAGGGGAGATGCAGGTTTTACTCTGTCTGGTTTGTGCCTTTGGCCTTTTTGGTCAGTATCATCCAGCACCTTTACCACTGGAAGATGATGGATCGGTGCATCCGACAAGACCTGCTCAGAATGATCTGTCCCTGGCAACAGTAAGTCCTTCTTTTGTACCTTTTTCATGCAGTTAATACTTGCAATTTAATAATTTTTTTTCATTGTGAAGAAATTTTTTGTATATATTGTACTATATATATATATATATATATACATTATATATACAACAATATCTCTATTACAGTATCTTTCTTCTAAATTTATATATATATATATATACACACATTGAACCTAAAAGCATATTGATGATAAAGCGAAGCTTATCAAGTGGATGAAATACAGGAAGGGAGTGGAAATATAATGATAGTTGATACTCACTGGTGGTTCCTGCACGTTTTCTTGTAGAAATACCTGCAGAAATTCTACAGTTTCCAAGCAGTTCCTACAGGCCGCAGGAGAAGGAGTCGTCCCTCGTTCTCTTCCAAACTGAAAGACATGCAGAACTTTTTTGGGCTGAACAGGACAGGAACCCTGAACCCAGACACCCTCGCTGTCATGAGGACTCCTAGATGTGGCGTCTCAGATGTGGAGGATTACAGTCACAGACGTGGAAACAGGTGGAAGAAAAACATCATCACTTATGGGTAAATAGCATATTTATATTGTACGTTGCATAAAATGCTCCTAATTTGGATGGTAACGCTCCACCATGTATGGTAATAAAAGGTGTACAATCTTACAGCGTTGGGAGATACACCAGTGAATTACCAGTGAATACAGTGGATGCTCTGTTCGCGTCGGCTCTAGATGCATGGGCAAAGGCCAGCCCTCTCACTTTCCAGAGGTCATATTCTCACCAGGCGGACATCATGGTGGAGTTTGTTGGAAACGGTAAGTTAGCATCCACTTACATGCACTTTCACCTTCGAAGATAATGCTCATTTATTCTGCAATGAACTCCTAGAACATGGCGACTCCTTCCCCTTTGATGGTCCAGACGGCACACTGGCCCATGCTTTTGGCCCAGGGGAAGGCATCGGTGGGGATGTTCATTTTGATGAAGCTGAAACATGGACGGCTGGGTTCAAAGGTTCCTCAAATAAGACATACTCAAATAATGTAGGACTACACTTGGTACTAAAAAAAAAAAGGTTCACTTGTTTTCTCTCTTTTTTTTCTTCAGGGTTTAACTTGAAACATGGACGGCTGGGTTCAAAGGTTCCTCAAATAAGACATACTCAAATAATGTAGGACTACACTTGGTACTAAAAAAAAAAGGTTCACTTGTTTTCTCTCTTTTTTTTCTTCAGGGTTTAACCTGTATGTGGTAGCTGCACATGAGTTTGGTCATGCACTTGGTTTGAAACACTCGCAAAACCCAAATTCAGTGATGTATCCGACATACAAAAATAGAAAAACACACAACCTGCTCTCCAGTGAAGATATCATGAACATCAACACACTCTATGGTAAAACAAATCATGTTTCACAATCTATAACTGTGAAATTGTAATATTGTGGGAACAGGGGCAGTGTTCAGTTTCCACATTTATATGAGAGATAACATGTCTGTGTTTTTTCTGTTCAACAGGGCCAAGGGACAAAAGGCCCTATCCATCTCCCAGATTTAGCTGGAGCTATCCCAGCAACCCCTGGTACAGTGGTTCATATTTCCCTGTGTCATTCAAGGACACATGTAATCCCGATCTGACTTTTGATGCTGTGACTACTGTAGGAGAAGCCATTTTCTTCTTCAGGGACAAGTGAGTTGATCACATATAGTGTTAGCTGCCACTTACAATCCATTTGAAAGCAAAAAGCAGAGAACAGAATAGGAACCTGTAAAACATGGGTAAATTCATCTTCAGTTTGTCTGTCTTTTGTCCTCATAATTGTGAGAAACTTTATTTTTCATAGTTGCAACTTTATATCTCACAGTTGAGTTTTTCGCATCATTGGCAACTTAATAATTATAACATTGTGACTATTTCTCATAACTGTGACTATATTTCATAATTTAATACCTAGTAATTGCATCTTTCTCACAATTGAAATTTCACCTCAGAGTTTTAACTGTTTCTCTCAATTGTGACTTTATATCTCATAATTGTGATTATTTCTTGCAATTACGTCTTTATATCAATTTATCAATGACTTTATCAATTTATCACAGTCACAATTATTTTGTACAACTGTGACTTCTCAAAATTACGACTTCTCACTTTTGTGACTACTGTGAATTCATATCATCTTATAATTGCAATTTTGTTTTTGTTTTTTAGTTGCAACTTCCTCACAATTTTCACTATTTCTCACAATTGCAATTTTAAATATAACAAAAAAAAAAAATATATA